AGAGAAATACGGAGCTTCTAAATGTCTACAGACAACAACAACACCGTACCTAATTGATCTCAGGTTTTAGATTGAAAAATATGTTCTAAACAATGTTTGTCAAAATTAGATCGAGATACATTCGCATGTGAGAGTTAGTTTGTTTGCTCTATCGCCTCAAAGACAAACACATTAACTGCCCTGTTGGTCAGCTGGTAGGTTACAAAAGGTCACTGAGTCCACGGCAAGATCACGTCTAGGAATAACTGTTTCTGAACGCACAAGGCCGGCTTCAGTTGATTGTTTGCAACTGCCTCAGCAAACGGTCTGATGGGATGCCGAATGCACAGGCTTGGTCGCTAACGTGGCCAGTGGTCAGGATAAATCCATCTACTACAGACACTGGTTGTTTGCGCGCTTCAGTAAGTTGCCGTTCTCCATAAATATGGATTTCGCTCCCACTTAGGCAATTGTTCCTTTACTCTGGCACTACCATGTCGGTCTCCTTTGATTGGAAGCACAGGCAGTTGTTGAGTTCGAACTAACACACGGATTTCGGTCGCGTTGATTGTTCGTTTAGTCGAATTATTAGCCCTTACGTACTTCGAAACAGACTGTCATCTCCCTTAAAACGAATTTCTATGTAATTCTTCTCTTATCTATCAGTGACCGCTCGTTTGGTTGGCAGTTTTGGTCTGCTCTGTCTTTCTGTGAATTTTCTAGGCGAAACTATCAGATTGCGGTACAGACGTGAGCAACGCCAATTCCTTTGAAAGTCTGTCCTGTAATTTTAACTACCCAAATTCCAAAGGGATTTTATCAATTTGATGGCTATCATAATTTGTTCGATGACCACCGCGTGCTGATCACATGATTAGACATAACGTACGTATTGCGAATCGTTGGATTTCAGTCAATGAGTTTACCTAACAATGTGTTGTGCCACATGCAGTGAACCCGTTGTGTTAAAAATCACGCCACTCTCATTGTTTGATGAGGATGTACTTCACTGAACGCTGAGCGCAAGAACTTCACTCGGCAGGTATAGATTCAGGGCACTGTGTATACGGATCTGTTTCATCCGACACCATACCCCGTTTGTATGTTTGAATTTGAGCTGGAACCAAGTATGTACGAAACATGTATGTCTAAACAGGCTGGACTAGAATGTTCTCCCTCACCTGACTGGGTCCTAGGACGACGTACAGTTTGACTAACCTCCTTGACAACCTTTGCCGAAAGTAGTCCAGTATGTAATCTTCTGGGAGCTGCCCAAACCTGCTTAGAAGCAGTCGAGAGAACAGGGACTCAAGCCAAAAACCACGCGACTGGTAACTGTCGGTTTAATTACTGGCCCCTTATAGTCAATTTGCTCACACTAAGAAGCAATGTGTCAAAACTGGTCTTCTTCACCAGAAGTTATTTCATTCTTTTTCGTTTTGTTATAGTTCTTCATAGCTGCTTATTATTCTGTTCGTTTAAATACAACCACCAACCCGCCATTGACTAGCGCGTTTTTAAATATATACCCTTACCTACCATGTCGAACGCCATGTCAAACCGTGACCCATACCCGCAATCTGAATGAATATAAACCCCGCAAATAAAATGAGCTGTACAACGTTCTGTGGAACCCACGCATCTGAATTTTTGATCGTCTGTCTGTGCAATCTTACTACTTACTCACAACAACTCACAACACTCCTGATGAAGGCCACCTCAGGGTGATTGAAACGTAGAGCATTACAACTTGCTCATAACGTTGTGTTATTCTCAATCTATTTATCAATGACTACTTACTCTCTATCCTTGTTCCTGTGTGCCATGCTGATGACAGCTCGTTTGTATGGTCACACCCCCTCAGCTATCGAGCTGGAATCTGTATCGCCTCCGGAACACATTTTCATAGTTAGCTGTCGTTCAACACATCTGTTTTGCATCAGATAGGTGCCAGAGAAAGGGTGAACCATCTTGGGTATTGTTGTTTCTGTATTTTGTTTATGACTGTGTTCTTCCCCCCACCCCCAAGCCCAATTTTCACACCCTTTCCATCTGGCTTTCGCTTTGGTTATATGACGATGGACTACGTATGCCTCAAGAGACCGATGTTTACGCTTCGAAGACGTGGAACACGTGTTGAAACATAGACACTGCACATCTGTCACGTTGTAATCCGACCGATGCGTAGTATTTCAAGAGGAACGTTGACCGGGACAGGATTATCTAACTGATTATCTGAAAATACAAAAAATGCAAAATAAAACCACCACTGTCTAAATGTGACTTGTGTATCTCATGTGAGAGAGCCCCAATGCGTGAAATATGTTTAGTTTCCGTGTGGTCCGGCCTGCCACACACTGTCTATCTGCTTTTGTGTTTATATGAGGACCCTTTATGCGTGTCACATGGACAGAATCGCTGAGTTTGACAATTTAGCAATGAAATCAAACATCAAATGAAAGTCTCTCTAGATCACCATTACTAAAGTTTGTCTCTTCCTTTAATTGTTCAGTCTAAACGATGGTTATCATCTGATTTCCAAGTGTACGATTTCTCTACCCACGTTACACTACGCTAACAAGGAAGTATATTAGGCAAAATATCAAGCAGTTGCAATGTAACTTATTCATGCTTTTGTGTGATTGGGCACAGATAACTACACCTTACCAGCATTTAGTCATTGGTTCAATCTACGGGGCCAGCAAAAGTGGCTGTCATCATCACAAGTAGAGGACAAGCTCGTTTAGTGTGTCATCTTCAGACCAAAGAAGGGTTGTCTGAAACCGAACGCGGTCTTAACTCAGTTTCATTTTTGAGATTACGGCATGATTACCGTGGTGCCGTGTCACTTGTCCCAATGATGGCAGGCTGTGACAAATGCAGTGTCTGAACAAAAGACTACTGTGCGCAGATTTCACAACCGGATTCCGTCAGTCTCCGGAGCAGCCAGGATACGATATTTTGCACCCCTGATGTGAACACTTGTGATGCGTTGGGAACAACAATGAGTGCCTTAAATGCTATACTGACATTCGCTCTGAGACCTGTGCTGGCTAATTGAGTCAACATTGCACGGAAGATACTCCGTTGATGTTTATTTGTCAACCAAGAGGGGAGATGTTCACGTATTCGTCCTGACAAACACCTAGTTGGGCAACTTGATTAAGTACACTGTCTTGCAAGTGGTAGTGTACGATTGGTGTGAGGATGTAAGATAGACAGAGGTATCCAGGAAAACTCTAGTCCAGATAGGAAACAGATGTGCATGACATTTAATATGATAAACCAGCAAACATCTATCCTGGTTAGGTAGGAATTTTATTCAATGTTACCACAACTATTTTACGTGCATTCGAATTCAACAAGCCAGTACGTTTGACATTATTAATGTACATTTGTTTAGCGGCTCCAACCCGATGGAAAAAAGCAGCATTCCATATTTTGCTCTTGAGATATTCACTATTTGTACAGGAGGTTTGTATAAATCGTATTACGTGCAACAGATGTTTCGCGGTCCCGCCGTTCAGTTCGTTGTATATTATGAGGTGGAAATTCGTCAGGATATCCACTAACGCAAAAACGTTTCACATGAAAAGCTTGAACCTGTTGTCTAACACATCAGCGGTACGAAGTCTGTAGATTTGGTTCACTAGACACCATATCAGGTTTCGCTTCTTCTTCATTAGAACTGTGAAAGTGGACATACCGACCAAAACTAAAGTGATAAATCCTGCGTTTTTGGTGTCAGGATCTCTTCGTGATGCTCATTTGGCGTTCCAAATCGTACATCCTTCAAATGGATGCAATCAAGTATAGAGCCTGGGTGACATGTCCGGAAACAGTGAGCACAGGTTCAGTGAGTTTTAATTACTCTGATCTATGGATTCAGTAGGTTGAGGTTCTTTGTGGCCTGTCTGTTGCAGAGTGGCTGTCGCAGTTCGGTTAATTAATGCGGTAGTGCATGATATGACGGATCCGTCATGTCTACAGTCGGATGTGTGAGTACGCTATCTTTATGAATTTTAGATAAGCCATATGGTGCTGATAGAACTGAGTCTGTTGGACGCATTAGCTGGAGTACTGATGCATCATACTATCCATTCTGTTTCACATTCCTTAAAGATTTGAAGATCCACTTTTCTACTACAAGTATGGTATCTTTCTCAGTTCCTACTGTTCGAAATATGATATCGTCCGTGAGTATACCGTTCATCTTGTCTAGATATACCTGCTTATCTAATGGCACTATCAATTCACCCTTATCAGTCCTAATAACTAAGATGCTGTCTGTTTGTAGACTCTTCAAGACCTCCATATGATTACTTTACAGGTTCCCACACGCCTATCTCTCATCAATCAGGTGCAACAAGAGTGTTTGTTGGTGGTCAGCTGTCTGGTATGTGAATCAGTGAATAGTTGCAACTCAGTATGTACGAAAACTTATCTACAAAGAATGATACACTGCGCGGAGTAGTTATAATGTAGTAGATTGCCAAACCAGGGGTGCGAGTATTTCAAATCTCGGCGAAATACCTCAACGCGGTGGCCAGGCACGTTCAAAAACATGTCCGAAAACCCATAGCTAGTGGAACACTGACAACACGGGCGACTAGAGGAGCCAGCGCTCAACAAGATCGGACCAACGGAAAAGACACGGCAGGTGAAGTAGGATAGATGACCAGATCGGAGGCAAGATTATCCCAACACTCGGTGGAATATCTCAACGTGGTCGTGAAATACGGCCAAAGCCAACAGTGGATTGAGTGCGGACAATATGGGAAAAAGGAAGGGCTATCAGCCAACAACATCGGACCCACGGACAAGGAATAGGAGGTTGAAACCCCCCGACCGTAGGCGTCGGTTACACACAAGCCGGGCAGAAGTGCACACGACGTGTGAGCGGAAACCAGGTGTGTGTTTTGAACCGGAATTTCGTTTAATACACGTTAGCGCCCGTGTAGCATAGCACCCAGCCATTTGGACAATAAAGAGTGTAGATCACTCCTAACTGTGAACACTCAGGGCTTCGGCTGGATTCGAACCAGCTACAGAAACACCAACGCCGTAAACGCTCTACCAGCTGAGCTACGAAGACACATTGAGAACTCGGAAATTTTACATTCGGACTCAACTACCCACCCGTCCCACTGTCTCATATGGAATCCACTAAATGATCCAGGGGATCGACTGACCTGGCAGGATTTTCCAACTAGTTTACGCTGTAATCCACCAATGCCACTCTTCAGCATAGGAAGTGTATTACTAGTAAGTAGAGGGCTTGCTGCATCAAGGCATGATGTTTCTGTCGCTGGTTCGATTCCAGCTGAAGCCCTGATCTTTCACAGTTTTGTCTCATCTAACATCATAACTCTGCCAAACTACTTGTTAGTAATAAAGATTGTGCTTTATTGGACGTCTTTTCGCCACAATACGGCATTTTACACTCGTAATATTTTTAACAGCTTTTGAGTTCAGTAAGACTTAGAAACACGAATCGCAACGAGCTTCCATCGTCTGTGCATTACTATGCCATTTAAATTGAACTGCTTTTATAAAAACATCAACCAGCAATGACAGAGTTTGGTCAGTACACAAGCATGTGCTTCCTCGTATATTGTCTCCAGTGATTTCGGACGCATGTGCAGTATGGCCCAGGGAATGCACTGAACAACCGTTTGTGTTGAGGTGCAACACCAGGTGGGTTTTGAGTCGTCAAAAATCACTGTTAGGTGGGTTGTGCTTACCAACATGGTTATCGGAATCCGGGAGCATTAAAGCTCCAGTTACTAATCCAATTATGAATAAACTAACAAGATAACATAATTGTCGCCCATTCTGTGACCAAACCTGTCTGATTAATCATTGTCGAAAGTTTTCACACTATCACTTCATCCCACTGAAAGCATCAGCTGGGATTGTGGTCTTGGTTTGTAGGTTTTCAACCAGCTTTCCAATAAAATTTCTGCACACAAACGCCGTGTATCTTTTCGGACCATTTTCAAACCAACACCCCACAACATCGCAAACACTCGACCCGTGAAGTCTGTTGTTCCTTTAAACTAGGCAGTACTTTGTAGCAAACTGGGTCTTAACACGATTTACACTCGTAAAACCTCGCCCAGCGATGGTAATTTCCATGGTCTGTTGGGAAACATAATTGTGCACATGCATTATGCATGAATGATCGGGCTCATAGTTCACAAGAACAGGATGGTGATGATGACGATAATGACGATCTAGCCAACTCCAGGGATGACCGTGAAAAACTCTAGTCCGTTAACTACCCACATTCCCCCCACGTCCCAATTCGGGCATTCGTTTGTTCCCTCCTTGTAGTTGCTAGGGTTTACCATTTTACGACATCTCACAGGCATAAAATCGAGTTGCACCATCGAATCATGTCTCTCCCCTCCCGACGCACCTACCTGTTCAACACAGCATAGCGAAACGGACATGTATGCCATCGTTTAATTGTGGCAAAGTTACAACCTTTGGCTTTGTGTTAATTTACCTTTGAAAGTTGGATAAACCTGCAAGATATGAACAAAAAATGAACAAACAGTCTGTGTAAAAAATTATCACCGATTTTGTGGTAAACACAGAAACATCATAGAACATTGGATAGTGAACACAATTAAATATGAACAAAGCTTGTGTGGAAAACTCTAAACCACTGGGTGCCCACGTCGGCATGCTAGGAAGAATATAGAACAACGAATTAATTGTAAATAATTTATTTTACTTGCCAGTAACTCAATGGAGACGATAGCTGACTGGTTGTTTATGGTAATTCACAAATGCATGCGATACTGTTGTACAAGTGTTCCAAGGAATTTCCAGTTTCCGCTCATCTCAGTTATGTACTCCTGGTTTGACGCAATCTTCATACAACTATAGTATATTGTTGGTCAAGCTAGTACTGTAGCATGCAACCAGAAGAGCAGACGAAGATTTTAACCAAAGATGTAGTACGCAACACGCAGCGGTAGTTTAAATGCAACTGTCCTATTCGCTTGTCTGACTGTCCGTTGATTCAGGATCCCCGTGCACAACGTACACCGGACGACCACGAATTCAGGGTAAATCGTCCCACCTCCGAAACCATCGACCGGGCCCCAGGAAACCACATGAGAACAGGTAATCCCTGTGATCCTGTTTACGTTCCGTCTCTTACCGACTGTTCCCAACGACTAGCAGAGCTTACGGTACAGATAATAATATGTGGAATAGCACTTGCAGGTTTAGTGGACTCCCGAGCATCAATAAGCGTAATCGGCTCACACACAGTATGCAGACTATTGTGCTACAAACGGAAACCGTGTTGCCAACGCATTCTTATAGCCACCGGTGACCAAATGCCGACGGAGGGCAGAATCGTTGCACCGGTTGTAATAACCGGATGTCATACAGAGCACAATTTTGTAGTCAGCCCCAACCTTCCATTCTGTGTTATAGTCGGGTTGGATTTGCTGGGCCGTCTTGGATGCACACTCGGTCGACCCAACCTCCAGCTAAGGAGCCCGTCCGGCACCACTCATTTGCCACCTATGTCCAAAACTCCGCCAGAAACCGACTTCTCCCTTCATGCTATCACTGCCGTCTCTAAAATGAATCGCCAAATTAGCGAGATGATTCAGCCGAGTGGGGCTTCTGACAATCCGCGAAGTGCTCAATGTCTGAAATCAATAATTAAAAGTCGACTACACGTGTTTGCATGGGAGGGAGCAAGGCTAGGTCGCACAGGCATCCTAAAACATCAAATTAATACGGCGGATCCACCACCAATCAAGATACCCCACGCAGAATACCCGCACACCTCCAGGATGAGGTACTTAAGATGATTGATAACATGATGCAGAAGAATGTGATCCGATCTTCAAACTCCCCGTGGGCTGCCCCAATAGTCCTGGTAAAAAAGAGAGGCGGCGACCTACGAGTATGCGTTGATTACAGAAAGCTCAACCAAATAACAAAGAAAGACGCACTTCCATTGCCCAGAAAAGACGACCTCTTTGACGCTGTCGGCGGAGCCACGTACTTTAACACGTTGGACTTGGCATCAGGCTATTGCAAGTGGAAGCCGAAGAAAATGACCTAGCCCAGACGGCTTTCACCGTGCCGTCGGGATTGTGTGAGTTAGAAATCATGCCCTTTGGATTATCGAACGCACCTACGACCTTCCAACGCTTACTGCAGAAAACACTGCATGATTTGATTCCCAGAGCATGCCTAGTATACCTGGATGATGTCATAGTCCACGGGAAGACCGAGCGAGAACATATGCGCAACTTGGAGTCTGTGCTAGACCGCTTAGCGGAAGTCGGTTTGAAACTAAATCCCTCAAAATGCCACTTCCTGCTCAAAGAGGTAACATTTCTGGGGCACGTTATCTCTGGGTCTGGTATCCCCACAGACCCAAGAAAGACGGAGCAGCTTCGATCTTGGCCCATACCGAAGGATGCAAACGTGCTGAGGAGTTTCTAGGCCTGGCTTCCTATTACTGCCGTTTCATCACTGGCTTCGCTCGCATTTCCACTCCCCTGACCAGATTGTTACAAAATGATCAGGAGTTTGCTTGGACAGAAAAGTGCGATCATGCTTTTAAAACACTACACGAAGCTCTGTGTACGGCGCCAGTGTTAGCATTTCCTGATATGTCGCCGAAGGCCGGGGAGTTCATCTTACATACCGACGCAAGCGACTGTACAATTGGAGCGGTCCTCTCGCAACGAGAACAAGACGGTAGGGAACGAGTGATAGCTTACGGTAGTCGGTGTTTGAGCAAATGTGAGAGGAATTATTGTACAACGAGGAAAGAAATGATTGCTCTAGTATTCTTCGCGCGACAATTTCGCCACTGTCTGATGAGAAAAAGGTTTATCGTGCACACGGACCATCAATCTCAAGACAGCGTTCTTCCGAAGTAGGGGTTCCAACAAGTCCTGTAAAAAAATACAACAAGAAACAAGCATGAGCCATAGGCCCAATAAGCCATGCACACGACTTACACAAACGAAAACTAAAACGGCGTCAACAGCACAGCAGCAGGCCTAGTTACACAATTCAAATTCAACCTGTGCGCGCTTGCTGGTTTCGACCGCACGTTACAGTACCATTATTGTCATGCAAACGTGATTATTGATCGCGTTCGTATCTCGTGTAGTCGACACCTGTGTAGTTAAATGTGCCTGCTCTGACCAGCGGAGAAGGAGCAGATCACGAATATTCGCGTTCAACTTGGAAGGCTGTACAATCGGGAACCTGGGCTCAACGGTCATGAGTTTAAGTACTGAAACATCAAGAAGCACACCAATGCACGTTTATTCAAGCAGTGTACGATGTAGACCAGTGGTGATTCATAGCCTCGTTCATTGATTTGTCTGATCTCACAGTCACTGGCGTAAATGAACTGCCGGGCCAACGTACCTAGCCTCGATAAGTGCTCCTCAACTTCTGGGAATAACTTTCAAGGATATGTACTACTGATGAGCCCTAATAAGAGCAAAACTCGAGTCTGATGCTTCATTTCGAAAGGGGCCGACTGGAAAGTGTATGAGAATGCGACAGCTATGATCAATTTTGAGTGTTGTTCAACTTGAACAATAACCCTCTCACCAGAAGAGGTAATTAACCAGGCGCATCTGCCTTGGCCCGCAGCCCCTGTCCCCCACAGTTGCATGTTAAGTTTGGGGATGACTCTGACGGATTAAACATCATATCGGAGTGAAAACAATCATACACTATCAAAAAACCGAGTACTATTGCTCTTAATATTGCCCCAGATGACCTTTATGCAGATGCCAGTCAGTTCAACAATTCAAAAAACCCCAACTCGCTGCCAATCCAATAGGTGTTGGCGGCCTCAAAGTAAACTATAACACACTGACTCAGCTTTTCTCACTCCACAAATCTGGTCCAGTGGATTCATCTGCTGTCCATAGTGTAAGCAGTGAAACTGTCTCCCGATTCTGTCTAGTCTCGGCATGAAAGTGTTCTGTAGTGATAGGGAAGTCGATAAAAAGGTAATCGCACTTAAAAACCTCAACTATTTGTGACAGGATGCTACTACATCTTCTGGAATCAGTCTGACAAGTA